GTGAAAGTGGCCCTTTGGTTGGGGATTTATAAGAAAGCAGAACTTCAGTACAGATCCTTTCCAAGGTCAAGGGCTCTTTGCCTGGCTGTAGACTACGGGGAACCTTGACCGTTTAATCTCTCTTTGCCTCCCCAGAGGTTTCCCAACCTCCTGAGTAAAGGCGTCTACACCTGCTTCTGCACCTGCTTCCCGCAGTCCTGGTTCAACACACACGAGTTCAAGACCGCAGTCTGTAACACAATAAGCCTGTGGCTTTCTGGTGAGCAGTGTCTGATCTCTACTGGGGAAAGGCAAGTCTGGAGAACATTTTCTGACTGGGCCTGGGAAGGTGATTGTCTTCATCAAGGCAAACTTCCTATCCTTTTCTTTTTTACCAGAATGAGGAAAATATGTGTTTATGAGCAACTTAAGCAGTACAAAACTCTAACATTCCACGAAAGGACAACAAAGATGGGTATGATGCTAGGCAACTCCAGTCCTCTCCAAATATTCGATAAGATCGACAGGACACGGTCATCTTTTAAGCAGCAGTCGTCAAATTTCCACATGACCCAGTATCTTTTATTTTTTAATAAGCAGGACGAGAACGAGCTATATTTTATTCTTAAGACCATAAGGAGGGACAGGTGGCTGTGACATGAAGTGTTTCTAACAAAGATGCTTATGGGTTGAAGCAAAAACATTGTCGCATAGATAGACTATCGATAGGCCATAGTCAACCCCCATGGCCCGTATTTCATTAAGATTCCTAGATTGTCTATTCCAGGCCTTGAAGACATGACCCACCTTCCCCTAGTTCTCCCTATGCCTAGCCTGTTATCTTCAGCTCTATGGGGATCATTATTTCCCCAGAGATGCAATCGATGACGAGGCCACAGACACTACATACAAATATAGTTACGAGTAGAGAAAGCCCTTTAATGTCAATGAAGAGGACAGTATGAGAATGTGCACAGAACCAGCGGGGGAAAGGTTCAGGGTGACAGGATATTTACAGAGTGGTAAACAATTATTCATCTGTCCCTGTGGTGGGGCCTCTT